CTCAGAAGATGGCGGCGCGGCGTAAAGAGAAGGAACTTTTGCTTGCGAAGAAGAGACGAAAACTACGCTTTACTTTCGGCCAAGATATCGATCCAGATTGGAAGGATGGTACCCGCTGCATCTGCCGCGGTCGCACGCCCTACCTCCTTGGCTACCCGCCCGTCACCTGCGAAATCTGCAACCGGAAATACCATGCAGGTTGTGTATTCTTTCCGAATGAATCTGGGGATAAGGAGGCTCGATTTTCGTGCCCGATATGCGTCACTCGGAAGAACAACACATACCCATATGCAGAAGTGCGAATCAGGGCCCCGGGTTCGTCTTGATTTTTGATTTTATTCTCAAACGTCTGATCTTTCTCTAGCTGATCTCCGGAAATCGCAAGATCAGTACGTTGACGCAAGACTGATGATGGACAAAGGCACGAAGGAACTCATCTTCAAGACCTTGGGCCCACCGTTCACCAAGACCTTGTTCATCGAGATTGTCAAGGTTTCAACTTCGGAGAGTACTTCGTCTTCCACCAGTCGCCCTGGTCAGACGCCAGAACGCCCGTCTCGCGCGATTTTCCGGCCCCAGCCCTATCGTCATCCGCACGCACGATCAGGGCCCGCTGATGTTCAAATGGCCCCTGCGCCGGAAAGCATCCCGTCTACCTCGTCTTCAACCCCATCATCTGTGATCGCTCCGCCCCCGCCCCCGCCCTGGTCTCGTTGGGGTGGTCCGCCGGAGGGCTCGCCACCTAGCTCGACGTCGAAGAAGCGCAAGCTGGAGGAGCTCCACGCGTTCCAGGAACCCGTTACTATTTACCCCAAGAGGCGCGCCCTCCCAGAGCCCTCCTCTCCGGAGAGAAACGGGAACTACAACAACTTCACTCCGCCTTCTCCCGAACCGACGCGCCAGAACTCCTCGACGCAGGAGTCGCCTCAAAGACTCTCGCCCTCCCTCGCCAAGATCGTGATCCCCGCTTCATTGCAGAACTCCCCCCGCGCTCATCCCCATCCGTTTCAGAATCACGTCCTGATGGCGCCTCGCACACAGAGCAGCGGATGAGCTCCCCCATACTCCATGTTTTTTGTCCTTTCGTTCTAGCGCTCTGTATTTATCATTGTCGTATTATGTTTTCAGTACCTGTTTCGTCGCGTTTTCCCCTGTAGTAGTACAAACTAGATCCCATTATGCTATCGGATAATAATGTCCGAGTCTGCCGTCTACCGTCTATTGACCATGAATTTATAAGTAGAGTATCCTCCGATGATGGCGAATGCTGCGAGACCTGCGATGATGGAAACAAACCATGCGTATCCCTGGAAAGTTTCATGAGCTGGCAAGTATTGATGGGTAAACAAACGGATACGTGCAGGAACATCTTGTCCAGGAACGTGCACGTTCATGCCCCACAGACCTTCACTAAGTCAGCCTCACGCGAGATGCGGAAACAATGGTCGCATACCTGTTACCAGATTCATAGGAATGAGCACCGTTCCGAGGGCGGTGAGCTTGGAGAGCACGTCGTTGATCTGGTTGTTCGCATCGGTCATCTCGATGGAAATCTGCGCCAGATAGTTCGAGTGCGAGCGCGACAGGATCTTTTCGTAGTGGTTCAGGTTCTGCGTCATCGTGATGAGATGGTCCTGCGATGCCGCCCGAGTCAGCAGCCATCCTGCGCATCAATTATGACGCCGCTCACCTGGATATCCGAGAGATACAGCCCCTGCGAGTGTGGGCGTCAGAACCTAACGCTGGGCCGATAGGGAGGACTCACGATATCCGACGTCGGCGCGACGCGCCAATGCTCGTTGCACCGCTTCGCGAGGCCCTTGACGACGTCCGCCTTGTTCCCCATGAGCCGCAGCAGCCCCATAACCTTCTTACGGCAGGTGCCGATGCGCCGGAGCATGTCGGTCTGCTCCGCCTCCTTGAGTATGAGCACAAGCTCGTCGATGCTGTCGACTTCGTACTCGATCCCCTGGATCAGCGGGCCGAACGCATCGGTGATGTCGTCGATGAGCGCGTACGAGATCCAGTCGGACGTGACGCTGATGTAGTCCTTGAGCTGCTTGATGCGCCGGCGGACGTTCTGCGGGTGGGGCGTCGGGCGGAAGTGGAACGAGAGCGTGCCCTCGCGGAAGACGATGATGTACATGTTCAGCGGCTCGAGGTGCGTCGGGCTGTACGGGTCCTGGTCGAACGAGCGGAAGCACACGAGATAGTAGTTGCGGAACAGCTCGATCTTCTCGCGCGTCTCTTCCATCTGAATATCCTCCGTCGTGAGCGGGTGGATCGAGAACACCTGGAGGCATGGTCAACAGGAGTGGGACAATGAGGGAGGCGGGCGTGCCTTGCTCAGCATCTTCATCTCGTCGTCCGTGGGGCTCTGTACGTCCAACCACCAGGTGCTCGATTCCGCGTCGGCGGGCCCGTGCCGTTCGCCGGGCTTGTTGTAGTTGGAGAACCTCGCTGTCTTGTCGTTCACCACTGGCGTCGGGCCCGGGCGAATTGGGCCGTCTCGCGCAGCGCCCGCCTCGCGCGGCCCAGGTATGCCCGAAAAGAGGTCGTTGAACGATTGGCCCTCTGCGGGGAGCTCGCTCATGCTCCGTGCGTGTATCGTCGCCGAGAGCGCATTCGAATAGAATGAGAAGCGGTAGGGGCGGTCGTGGCCGGTGTGGAGGATTCCCGGGATGCCGGCAGTTGTTTGCGCGGCGTCAATAGGGAAGGTCGGCGGTGGATCGCCGGTGTTCCCCTCAAACAGCGCCATCTTGCCGCCGCCGCCCTTTCGGTGGTGCCGGGGGCGGGGATTGCTGTGACTGAGCTTGCGGCGCGGGGATGCGCGGCGCTCGGGGTCTGAGGGGCCCTCTCCTACGTCCTCCGAGTCGGGCGCGACGGTGCGCGCACGCAGGGCACTCAGGGAGAATTTTGGGGAGGCGAGATCGAGGCGCACTTTTTCGGCCGTGGCGAATTCATCCATGGGCGTAAAATCGAATTCCGACTGGGAGGCATTTGGTTGGTAGGTGGGGAGGCCACCGAAGGTCGACGAGGGCGCAGCGCGGAGGTGTGACTCGTGGACCAGCAGGGTCGGGTCGTGTGCGGAGATGTGGTTCATTTCCACTAATGACGGAACTGGGGCCACGTTTTCCGGCTGTTCCTCTGGCTCTCCGCGCGCGAGGTCGATTTGGTGCTGTTCGTGAGTGGAAAGCGAGGGAAAGAGGCTCTCGCCCGGGTCGGAGACTTGAGATAGAGTCTCTCTGCGAGCACGGGAGAGCTGCATTGCCATGTCTACGTCCATGGTGCGCTGTCGCTCTCTGAACTGGGGGTCGTTAGGATCAATTGAGCGAGCAAGGGTAGGTGAGTGTCTAGAGCGAGAGTGGTCGCTTTCGCTGTGGCTGAGGCTTGCCCTACGACGGGCCGGCGAGCCGCCATGAATTGAGATGGGCGAGGCGGTCAGCCCTCCTTCCTCTTCATCTCTGGGGGGGGAGCTCATTGTGGAAGGTAAAATATCGACAGAAATGGGTCTGCATATGAATGAGTAAGCATCGTGGTTCTGATACTGGGAGGACCTCACGTTTTCTGACTATTCTCGATTGAGTTACGTGGAGATATGTATAAGAATTAGCGGATTGGGCACGGCGAATGTGCAGAATTGCGAGGGTAATAAACACTGCGCAGCGAGAGGGTCGGTGACAGCGATTTCGACCTTCGTTCGAGTTCGTATGCTCGTTTGTGTGTCCTATATACGAATTTAAGCAACAGAGAAGGAGTCTGAAGGAGGCTTGAGTTTTGGAGCGTCAAGACTCTTCTATTGCCAGCGAGCCAGTCCAAGCAAACGAAAGAGCTAGGGGCCCTGATGGGTAGAGAGCCACAACGGCCCTGAGACTGTCTCCAATGGGCACTGCGACTGGTAGGCGGCTGTAGGTCCACGTCGGCAAAAGCTTGAGTTGGTCCTCGACAGTGGAGTGATCGCAAAGTGATCGACCGGTTAGAAGACGAAACGGATCACCGGTCCGGGGTAGCCCCTATTTAGGCTCGCCTTCATCCCTCGTGCTCTTCAAGCTTGTTTTGCTCGCAGGAAGAACTTACAGACATTACATTCGGGTATTTAGTTTCTCCATCTAGTGCAAAGGAAGAAGGCAAGCCCATTTGAATGAAAGCAGACCAGGGTCTTGGTTTTTCTTTTTCTTACCACAATATTCATCATAATCAGTCAGTTGTCCGAACACCTTCAAGAAACATCCCTGCATCCCGAAGACATGTGATTACTTTTGGGGGTGCCTTCCAAACTCTATCAGTGACATCTCCCTCAGCTTTCAGTGACATCTCCCTCAGCTTTCAGTGACATCTCCCTCAGCTTTCAGTGACATCTCCCTCAGCTTTCAGTGACATCTCCCTCAGCTTTCAGTGACATCTCCCTCAGCTTTCAGTGACATCTCCCTCAGCTTTCAGTGACATCTCCCTCAGCTTTCAGTGACATCTCCCTCAGCTTTCAGTGCTGTTCTCTCACATCAGCTTTCAGAGTGATCAGGCCACAGCACTGATATAGTTTGGAAGGAACCCCCCGAAATAGTCATATGTCTTCGGGATGCAGGGATGTTTTTCTTGAAGGTGCTCGGACAACTGATTCATCTTGGTGAATTCTGCGGTGAGAAAAAAAAACTGTTCAGTCAAAGGATTCATATCTTTTGGCTGAGTTTCAGAGAAGCACTGAAGTCTCAAACTCAGATAAATATTCGCAGGACGCAGTCCAAGCTGAAGCTTTTGCTAACTTTGTTTAATTCACTGCCCCTTTTCCTTCTGCCTCCACAACCACAGGGAAGCAGTGAATAATTGATACCATTAACTACGAGTGGAACACTACGTGAAGGGGGAAAAAGATAATCGGTCAAGTGTCAATGAGTAATTTTGTTTGGCAAATTTACGATGATCCTGTTGTTCTTTTGCCTTAATTCAACGATGAATGAACTGGAAATGGACAGCCATCCAAACGAGTGCACAAAAATACGTAAAACCCCCGGCGGGACTCGAACCCGCAACCTCCAGATTAATTGTTTACGCTGGAACGTAGAAGTCTGACGTCATAACCATTAGACAACGGGGGCATGGTGAGAGAGTCACAAGGTAAGTATAATATGTCCGGTCGGGATAGATACACTTTCTAAATATAGCATTTCCGAAAACTAGCAACCTTCAAAACATACCCTGAAAAATTGAAAGAAAAAGATTATGACTGTCAGAAAGATAATAAAAAACGACCATAACATCCCTAACACATCCTAATTACTCTTATGATCAAGCGTCCATCCTCAATCACTGTTCATGGCTGTCTCTACAAGTTGAACAGGACTCCAGGAGCTTGGTAGCTTGAAGTGAAGTAGGACGAGGATGAACTTGCAATCATTTAAAATTATACTGGATCTCGGAGATTCGGAGTACGTCCAAGTCAACACTGTATTACAAGGTAGCTGCTTGCATCTCCAAATAAATGTGGAGATATGTCCAGAGAAGAAGAGAATAGGGCTTTGATCTTCTGCTTTACGGGATGGTTGTCGAGAGATTCGCTTGCAACGTAAAAACACGTTGGACTTGTTCCCGTCCGTCGACCTGCTTTCAACGAGTATATTTCAGCTTGGGTAGATGTTTGACCATGAGGTAAGGCTCAGAGCCACCTAATTTACACACCTTTTTTCTCTAAAAAGACAGGAAGAGGCATCACTGGATACCCGGTACGAGATCTCAGATCAAGTCAACCGTTTCTTACCCATTTCTTCCCCTCACCCAAATGATCCTGACAGACAGGACGGGACCCGATTTAACTGGCTGTCGACCCATCGTATACGGTAGCGGGCCGGAGATAGAGGCAGCCTAGCCAAGTAATGTGAGTGCTCATATGTTGGCTTGAGTTCACCTCGGTATTTACAAGCGAGACATCTACACTGACTCATGGGTGAGCTTTTTCAGAGCTTTTTCAATATAACCAACGAAGAGCGACCGGAGGTGATTTCGAAACAGCGAACAAGCTGCTAGACGATATCTAGTACTAGTACAGACAACTTAACCCAGAAGCTTCGTTTCTATCACTGATCTCCAGGCCTATCCGGCCCAAGTCCAACTCAAAAGTAGCCACAGTGTCCACCGTGGACGGTGTAAAACTCCTAAGGACACTCATTTGGGACACGTTCAATAGTATTCCCCTTTTCGGCTGCGAGGATGACTATGACCGATTCGGAACATTGACACGTGACGTAACGAACGCAAGCAAATTGGGGATGAGCGAGGACTAATCATATTAGCTTGAAACGTTCAGCGTGAGTTATACTTCCATCCCAAAATTTATTTTCCAGCATCTTCATACCGTTATTTTCCGTTTGGAGTCATTTTTGATCGTTTGCACCAAGTTTTCTGATTCTACTGTTTTCACCAGAGCGCCGGTTGCCGGCTCAATTCTTGTTTGCCATAATCGCGCAATCACGAAAATTACAGATAGAATGACCCCTCATATCTCCTGTAACATCCTAACAAATGCAGTGCTATATTACACCGTTTTTTCTGCAGCACGACTCGGAGAAGATCTGGGCGGTATTATTCTCCAGGGCCTGCAGTCAATTTTCATTTGGCACGATGGCTCATCTTTCGAGGAGCTATTATTACACAACTAAACAGAAAAACAAGGCTAGGTCAAGTCTTGGCATCCTCCCTTTTCTTCCTTGCCAGCTTCCGTTCGACAAACGCAACATACTGCGCCATACCCTTCTCCAACAGTTTCAGCTTTCCACCACCGACACGATACGTTTTTCCAGGCGGGGTGGTGACATCGTCCTCGTCCTCGCTGGACGAATCATCCGACTCCTCATCGTCCTGTGTAGCGTGCCGAAGCGATTCGCCTTCGATCACAACGCGACTGAACCATCTGTGCCCACCGATGAGGGTCGTGATACGTGGTGCAGAGACGAAAAAACCCACCGGTCGTGAGTGATGATGATTATCCCGCCCGTGAACGTCTTGAGCGCCGCAGCGAGGGCCTGAATGGTGGGAAAGTCGACGTGGGTGGTCACTTCGTCGAGCAGTAGCAGTGGAGGGGGTATGAACACAATCAAAGCTATCGCCAGCCGGACCTATCGCCAATGGTAAGCCTCCTATGTGAAACTGACCAGTAGCGGATTTACCTTTTGCCCACCGCTCAGCTGGGAAAGCGGGGTGTCACTCGCAATTTTGCCTTGGAGGCCAAAAGATCCTAAACACTTGCGGGCGTCCTGCTCGACGACCGTCTCACCCTTGGCCTCGAAGTACTCCGTGAAATATGAAAGGGCCGTCACTGGCCCATCCGACGACGTTCGCGTCAGAGGGCCGGAGAGTTCCTCGACAGAGTGTTGCGAGAAGTAGCCAATTTTGAGCAGTGGATGTCGAATAATGGCGCCTTTGGTCGGCTTCAGCGTGCCCATTATCAGCTTCGCAAGCGTCGATTTTCCTTGGCCGTTCTGCAGAGGAAAGACCCGTCAGCGACAATCGGCTGCCACACCAGGAACACTCACGGCGCCGACGAACGCGCATCGGCCACCCTGGTTGATGGTGAAGGTGATATCCTCCAGGAACGCCTTCTTCGCCTTCGGGAATCGGTACTCGACGGCATCGAAGTGTATGAGATCCCCGAGTGTCCGCAGTTTTTCTGGACTGGCGATACTGATTTTGACTCTCGGCTCCGTGAGCACCTTGTCAACCTCGGCACGGTTCGAGTTATGGTACCCGGCCATATCACGGTTAAGTTTGAAGCGTGTCCCCTTCGCGCTGGTCTCTGCTCCCCAACGCTCATCCAGCCTCAAGTTATATGTCAGCTGGGCTGAATGTGCAAGATGAGACGACCAACTTCTTCTGCCGTGACTTCACCATTCGCTGCCTGTGGCGAATGGTCAATGGAAGTGAAGGATGACTGGATGCTGAACTACCTGTTCTCATCCCCAGTTTTCTTGGCGCTGGCAATGCCTTGTTGAATTGACTTTTCGATCTAGCGCAGCGGCAGGTTGAGAACCACATTTGGGTAAACTTGGGTTCCTACGTACATGTTCGCGCTTCTTATCCAAAACCTCCTGCGCGCCGGTGAGCCGTTTGCGCTCCTTGCGCTCATTGACCTCAAAGGCCGCAGGCGTGCCTTCGAAATATTCAAGAGTTTTATTCCGCAGGATAATCGTCTCCTCGACGACATTATTCAGGAAGTCTTGGTCGTGTGAAATGAGCACGAGAGTCCGCGACTCAGAGCTCAGGAAGCCTTCGAGCCAGATTATCGCCTCCAGATCCTGAGCATTCCACATAACTATGAAATACTTTTTCAAGACAACCCAAGAACGCACCAGGAAATTTGACGGTTCGTCGAGAAGTAAAACGTCGCTATGAACGAGAAGGGACGTTGCAAGGGAACAGCGGGACCTCCAGCCGCCAGAAAGGGAGGTATATGGACCTTCCATCATCTCCTGCGTGAAGCCCAGTCCAGAGAGTATGGTCGCCGCTCGCGCTTCAGTGGACGAGGTTTCGAGCTTCCCGAGAATTTAGAATTAAGCACACTGTAAGTGGATACAGCCTTACCAGCTCCAGTGTGACTTGCACGTCTTGGAGCATCTCCAGAGCATGGGTCATTATATCTGCTTCAATGTCGGCCGTGTCGACCCCTTCGAGTCTGCAAGCAGAATGTCAGGCCGGTTGCAATGAAGTACGACCTCTCTCACAAGATCTCGGCTTTCTTGAGGTTCTCCTCGGCCTTGATCTCCTCCAGTCGCGCGTCTTTACCACGCGCACCTGAGCGTCGGCTCGCGACTTTCTTGGCCTCCCGTAGCTCGTGGCGCCGTTTCTCAAGACGCAGACCATAGAAAATACGCTGTGTCTCGCGTAGAGACGTACTTTCGACCGCCTTTGTCAAAACTAATTCGGCAAGGCTCAATAAACGCGGGGCGAGATGCATCGTGACGTGCCTTCAAACTCCTCCACTGCAGCCTGCCGTTCCTTGTCCCCTTTAACGACGTGTTCAAGCACATTGATAGACTCGACTCCCGGGTTTTCCGTCGCTCTGGCGCTATCTTCTACCTGCGAGAGCAAGAGAATTCGAATCGAGGGACTCAGCCCGGGGATGAGCTTGTCCGCAATCGCGGACAGCAGCGTACTCTTGCCCGACCCGTTTCTGCCAACCAAGCCGTATCGGATGCCCTGCTTGAGGCGCAGATGGCTAGCCGAGATGAGCTCGCGTTCGCCGATGGAAATAGTAACTGCTTTCAGATCGATCTCGAGGCTGGTGTCGAGCGTTTCGGTGTGGAACCGGGATTGCTGCGACGTCGCGCTAATCAAGTTTGGGGTCGCCTTCGCTTTGGGAGCCATGGTGGGGGAGAGCAAGAGTGGTGGTACGGTGTCATCGAGTCGAGGTTCGGGTCCGCCTTAAGATAAGATTAGATAGATCTGCGGCACAGCCACATGTCGCGATTTGACATACGAAAAGGAGATCATCGAGCTGCGTCGGTTTGTTCATGTCTTCAATTCACGTTGACTGTATTGTTGAAGCTGTAGCTCCTTTGTGGTTCCAGCAGTGGGATCAGCAACACTTCAAGCCCTTGGTAGCCCGGGTGGACGCACTAGCTGCCCAGGTAAAGTGCTTCGGACAAAGCTTTGTTAGGGGTCTGCTCATTGCCTGTCCGCAGTGGGCAAACGAGCATCGAGCAACTGGTCATCAAGCCCCCTTTGTCATAGTTCCCTTTATAGACGGAAGTGACCCGACCGTGGCCCCCGTAAGTCTATGTAAAAGGCCAATGTTTCCACCTGCTGAGTTTTCTGGGATAGCATGCACTCCCTGCCCTCCGCAATACGAACGACATACGTGCCCTCACGCCAGCACAATCCACTACGTATTGTAACAACTACGGGATCCTCCAACCTGGCAACGCGGCAAATTGTCGTCTTCTCATAGCCAAGCACATTGGTTATTATGATGGTCTTTGACGGTCCCTTATATCAAGATTCCGCACCTTTGTAAATACGTTCTCAGTTGAAGTATGTTTCCATGGCGGTAGTACTGTATCGAACTCTGTAAAATCAAACCACCGCTCCGAAATTTTGGCTCTGCGCG